CCCCCACAAAAGCCTTATCGTACTTTCCTCAAAGCCTATTTTGCATAGGCATAGCTGGAACATTTCCAGAAGTCACACCTGGCACCTGGACTCTCCTTCAGCGACCTTTGTGCTCACAGCAACAGCTCCTACAGCAGCCCCAGCCCACACGTGACACGCCCCAGAGCTGCCAAGCAGGGCCAAGGCACACTTGTCTGTTTAACTCTCCCTGCCTGACAAGGCTTCTTCCAGTGGGGAAGGTCATGCTGGGTCCTGACATTGAGCATGCACACCTGCTCCAGGAAGCCCAAGTGTGTTGGCTCCTATCTGTAAGGCGGTCAGTGAACCCCCCCCCCCGCCCATTGCTAAATAAGGGACAGATGCAGACTGGCCCTTCTGCACAAAAGAGGGGGTGAGTAATCTTTTCATAGAGCAGGAATGACAAAGAAGCACAAACGTGTTTGAATATTGTTTCTGTATAAAGGGCTTGCTTTTGAAACACAGCAATGACTAGAATACTTTTATTATGACTTCCTAACCTTTCTTCAGTACGGAATTACATACCAGGAGTTCTTGGATTCTTGTGAGCTTTTCTAATTGCAAATAGTCCTGCCTGCTAGATGAAGTCTGACAGTCACAAGGTATCCTTCTCTTGCAAGAGATGCAAGAGAAGAGATGTTGCATCTCCCTGGACTGGGAATGCAGCTCAGCACCAGAGTCCAGCAAAACACTCCCCAGAGAAGAGTCCAGGAAGAGTCACGATTGGAAAAGGGAGAAGGTGAGTTTACACAAGAGCACCCTGATCCTTGCTGGATCACCTTGGACAAGTTGGGATTTTTCCAGGAGCCATTGTGAAGAGTGTAAAGGTTGTTGAAAAAGAACTGTTGTGGGTGGATCCTGTGCACAGTCTGGTCTAGTGCCAGCAGCCAGCAAAGGCTGCCCATGTCCACACTGAGCAGGGATGAGTGCTCCCTTCTTCAATGTTGCTTCTGAACCCTCAGATTTGCAGTTTTAGAACTTCTGGCCTTAGGAATGGTGTGATGGCACATGATGCATGATGTGATTCTGCTACTGAAGTTAGGTGAGATTAGAACTTTAATGTGTTTGAATGAGAGCCTGTTTTGATGGATGGAGAGAGAGAGAGAATGAAATGTATAGACACTCACTCACGTTTGTGACTTTGAACACTATGGAGTAATAGTGTGAACCTATGACATAAAGAAGTATTAAAACATTGTACACTTTGGATAACAGTAAATTACAAGTTGAATAAAGTAAAGAAACAAATGCTCTTATAATGGAGAAGTATCATATTCTTATATGTTAGTGCTGACCAACCATAAGAACACTGTGAGAAAATTAATGGAGAAGGAATACTAATGAGGAATTGAACTTAGGATAATTCATAGACTGTGGAAGCAATTTATCAAATTTCAAATATATATCAAGCATAATAGTTGATGATTAATTATTAACAATCTTGAAAAGAACAAAACGTAGGTGAAGTATGATGAAAAAATGAAGAGTTGAAAAATGAATGAAAATCAGTTTGTAGAAGGAAGAAGCATCAGGCAGATATCAGGAATGTGTTGTTTTACCTGAATATTTATGTTCCCACAGCTCAAACACTTTTGTCCACATATGTCAAACTTTCTTATAAGGTAGTCCTTGCTTAACAATGGTAACTGGGACTGGAATTTCCATCACTAAGCGATGTGGTCATAAAGTGCAATGTCATGTGACAGCATCGCTTAGCAACTGCATTCCCAACAGTCCCTGTTACTGTCATTAAGCAAATCCCACTTGGTCGTTAGGTGAGGCCCCACCCCGATCCAAGTCATTCCCAGCTTGATACCTCCCAGCTCTAAACTTCGGTAAGCCTCAGTAAGACTGCCTCCTCTTGAACTCCCCCCACCCGCGGGGTAGGCAGGTGGGGGGAGTTGAAGTGCCCTTGCAGTTATAAGTGTGGGTGGGCTGCCAAGCATACACATTTTGATCATGTGACCATGGGGGCACTGCAATGGCCATAATTTTGGCGACTGGGCGTAGGTACCATTCATTCAGCACTGTCATAACTTTGAACAGTCACTGAATGAATGGTCATTAACCAAGGATTACCTGTATAGCAATAGAAGGCCAGAACAATTTACACAAGCTATTTTTATTTATATGCAAACCAATACACTGTAAATAAATAGAGCAGCTTGGATATGCTAGGTTTTTTATGGTAAATTGCTAAACAAGCCTGTAATATTTGTGAGACACAGAACAGTGAATGTACAGTATTATTTTCTGTCTCTATTTTCATTGTTTGAATAACAAATATTTTAATAATTCACCTTATGGGAAAGCTATGTTTTTACCTTCTAGAGAACATGCACATTTTGATCCTAATTTTTTATAACCCAGGTAAATAGTTTTTATAACCCAGGTAAATATAACCCAGGTAAATCGTTTCATGGCTTAGGTAAACCATAGTTTCATTTACACCCATCCACCCACAAACATGAATGACGAGTAAGTCTGACGATTGCACCATTGCCATCACACGTCAGTTTTTCCACTAACCAAGAAATATGTAATAATACATAGGTGTGGTTGATTTGTATGTGGGTAGCTTAATATTAAATCATGCCCATAGGTACTTGGGTTTATCTGTTTCAGCTTCATTTCAGTAGTGTTGTTTACACATTCTTCATAAAAATAAGTACAAAATACATTGGAAAAGAAGAAATGTTGGTACGTGAATCAACACATTAGCATGAATAAGCAAAAAGTGGGAAGTTACAGTAATAGACCGGAACATCTTGTACACTCAATTAAGTAAAATCTCCCTTTTCACACTGTGTGTGTGTTTATTACATGTATTTCTATACTGCCCAGCTCTCAAGACTCTAGGTAAATTACAACATCTTGAAATAATCACAACCCCAATAAAGCAAAGTCCATTGACAAGCAGCAACATGGTACCCAAGAGCCTATAAATATACCAAAAAGAAAAAGATAAAGCTGATAGCCCAGCTTCTCCATGAAACCAAAACAAAATATAAGCTACCCCCAGATCTAAAATTAGTTCCCAAAGCTCATTCAAACAAAACCATTCTGACAATCTTCCAAAAAGCTAATAGAGAACATTTTGGCCAAACCTCTGGATAAAAGGTATTCAAAAACTTTGGGACTGTCACTCAGAAGGACGGTGTCTGGGTCCATTTCTTCCAATTTTTCTCCTGGGTGGGACCCTAAGCATATCTTCTCTGCATTGGATGGGCAGAACCACTTTGGAGGAGAAGGAACCAAGTCATTAAAGGCTTTTAAATTAATAATAATTACATTATTTTTTGAAAGGCCTTTGGAGCAAATTAATACAGGTTTGGAGTCAGAGTGTTTAATTTATTCATAATTCTTATCTGGTTGTGCATTTTGTTAAGTGGTCACAGAATGATGACACAAGTAGAGTTGTTTAGAGGAAAATTTAAGCTTGTTCCATATGCCCAACAGTAGTTATTTTACAGGTTAGAGAGTTTACATGACCAAACAACATCAGTGCAAGGACAACATACTATTATGTATAGTATACCTGTTGTTCCGCCCATATCTATGGAATCAAAGAATGTAAACTTTCAAGTTTTCAGAGGCAAAAACTTCAGGGATAAATTCCTGGGTTTTTTTTTTGCAGAACATTGAACTAGGTAAAAAGTATCTATTTTGAAATTATGCCATAAATGAATTTTATGGAAATGCCATAGAAAGTGTACTGAAATATTGCAGATCCTGTTCCAAATCCTCAATGTTTTCATTTCTTACTACTACTGTTATTCTATTAGTAGAAGATAGTTAACAGTTATATTTTTCTGACCCTAATAGACGAAATAAAGCAGAATAATGCCTTACTGCTGCTATTTTGCAAATTCACGTTGTAGACTTCAACAGTGCTAACAATTTTTGCTCTCAGATGCAGGTACAGTACAGTATGAATGGTGTTGAATATAGGTATTCTGTCATCCATAGGTATCAGAGGGAGAAGCCAAGTGATGAGATGTATATTGTGACATCACAATGCAAGTCCTGTAATTTAGGTACTGGCATCCAGTGTTGGGCCACAAGCACAAACAAGCAGAATTTGTGTCATAAATCACAAAGCACTTCAAACCATTTTTTCCCCCATCACTGTGGTTAGTAGCAGATACCTAAGCTGTCTCCTATTAACACTCTTTTGAACTAACAGCGAATGTAACTTAGATGAAAAATCCATGTCTATAGTATTTGTAAAGAAACAGAGAGTAGGAAAGAAAAACATGGAAAAATAGAAGAGTATGGCAGAGAAGAGAACGAAGATAGCAGGTCTGGGTTAATTCTGCCATGCTACCAAAACATGTAAAAATGGGATGGGTAGAGGTTGGCCTGTTACATAGAACAGTATACACACATACGTGTGATTTTTTTCTGTTTACAGAAAAAAAAAAGATGATTTAGAGAAGCTTATGGATAAATAACTTGTCCACAAAGTGTATAAATCTTTGAAGGCAAAGATAAGTTGATTAACCCCTGAGATATCCATCCTTCCATTTTGCATAGAATAGGGAGTTCTTCAAAAGCAGCATCTTCTATTGAGCATGTTTTGAATTTAAAATAGTGTTGTGAAGAACGTTTCCATATCAAGTTACCACTGCTTCAAACAGCAGACCCAAACTAGGCATTTTTGCCGTGTGTCTGCTATTTATAATAATATCAAGATTTGAAAGCACTAATTAGAAGGATCCCCTTCAACCAAAGCAGACACCTGCATTTTTTGCATCAAGAAGAGGAAGAAGGACTGGTAAAATAAAAACTTGTATTTTTTAGCAGTTCCTAAAAACATGACCGAGCAGATGCTGAAAGCTTAGTAGAAGTGCCTAATAATTAGAATTCTTCTTAAAAACAGTGGAATGAACCAGAAAACAATGCCATCAACTCAGGGAAGAAGTGGGAAAACATCCATTTGCTTTGTATAGCTGGATCCACCTATACTTCTTTGTTTTTTTTCTTCATTAAACTCAGCTTGATTTTAATTTACTTGGCCACGCTGTCTTATTGCTGATTAAATGCAAGAGTGTAACTATGTTCCTTAGGTGGCGGTAGTGGTTGTTAGATAATGGAAAAATCTGCATTTTACTGGGTGGAAGTTTAGTGCACTTGTAAATTTCTCACTAGCATCTGGATTATGTGGAAAATTGCATTTTCCAACCTTATATTGAAATTTCTTGCCAGTTTTAAAACTGTAACTCTAGTTTTAAAACCAGCTAGTAGATCTAACAATTGTCACTGTGCCAAATGTTGTACTGATGCTGTCTTTTGAATATTGTCTGTGGTATCAAGTGATGCCTAACAGCAAAATAAAAAGAAGTACCAGAAAAATGAGAGGTCCTGTAGTCGTTATGTCTAGATTAGGACTCAGAGTGATGACATTTCTGCAACTTTCTTGCACTGAAAAACCTTCTAAAGCTGTTACATTTTTGTGACCTGGAAGCTAGGAAGGGGCAAAAAGAAATGAGGCAGAGACTGATTCTGTGGCTTAGTGCTGGGGAACTGAAATGGTTTAACTCTGGCAGAATTGTGTCCTTGAAATTGTGGCAAAAATTAGATTTTATACTGGCTAGGTAAAGGTTCTCAAACTATGTGGTACTGAGATCTTCTAAAATGATACAGGAACTAGTATGAATCCCCAGATGATAAAAAAACGTTTTACCCAGAATGTTATTTTTGTTTCAGACAATACCTATTTTGACAACTGATGTACCA